AAGGTCTTGTCTAAATGAGTTCAACTGTTATATATGAAGGCCTCAAAAGTTATGGCCAATGTTAGAGTTTAAGTTTTTTGGCAAAAGTAGCTCCAACTCCAAGGAAAATTTAATTGTAACTTTGTACTCGAAAGAAGGTCTACAAAAAGGAACACACATGTAAATTATGAAAGCTATGGCTCTAAGTATTTAAAAGTTATGGGCAGGGTTATAGTTTTTGAGAATAAACAGACAGACAGAAGGAGGGACAAGAACTATATATCCCCCAATCTTCAAATACGGGGCACAAAAATTCCGCCTTGTTCATCCATCTTTTAAGTGATGCGTTGAAATTGTTCTAGTTATGGTTGAAATATGAATACATGTGTGTGTAAGGAAATTGTCATTGGTTTTTCCTCCTTGAAGTAATACGTATCGAGAATATTTTTATTGTTTATAAACACATTGTATCACTGCTTTGAAGAGATGAAGTCTTGAATTCAATAATTAAATCTCTTTCGTCCAAAATGACCAGTTGCTTTTCTGGTTAAATTGGTCCCAGAAACTTTTTTTGTAGTAAAAAAAATCACAAATAGACCAAATCTAGATGACAGAGAGATGGTTTTTTAAGCTTCCTATACGTTTGTTTGACATACTGTTCTTAATAGTAATGATCACTAGCATGTCTGTCCTACCTTTTCTAAGTTTTTGAATCAGGTCCATTTCCAAGTAAATTTATAAACCATACATTGACTTTACTTGCATGGACGATATTTCAGTACCTCTAAGGATACTCACTACCAAGTTTGCTTTGGATGCAAGATTTGACCTATATTTTCCATAAGAGTCATTTTTAGTCATATTTTGACCAAATAAGCATGGATGATGTATCTAGAGATAGACTCTTCGAGACCAGCTTCATATGCTGAATCTGACCTATAACTGCATTAGAAGTCTATCTCTAGACGAATCATCAATGCAAGTTTGCTTCAGGTAGGACATATAGTTACTTGGGAATGGTGCTCCTCGAAAACTTTAACCTGGTCACTCATCTGGAAATGTAAGTCACATCCAGCATCCGAAGCAAGTGTGATAGTGTCATTTCTAGATGCATCATCCATGCAAGTTTGGTCCGGGTAGGGCTTATAGCTACTTGGGAATGGACCTTCTCCAAAAACTTTAAGCTGGTCAATCATCTAGAAAATGTAGGTCAGATCCAGCATCCGAAGCAAATGTGATAATGATAATACCTGGATGCTTACGTGTAATACTGATCAAAGTAGGGCTCATAGTTGACTTATGGGAATGGAATTGCTCCAGAAACTTATACCGGGACGGGCGTGTTAAAGCCAACGCCGGGGGTATACTAACTTAGTAAAAGTTCATCTGATTTCGTCGAATAGAGCTGAATATATTTCTTTTGGAGGGTCATAAGGTTTAAATCAACAATTTATATCATTGAATAGAGGGATAAGAAACCTTAATTGTTATAATCCCCGCCTGAAAAGTGGGAGGGTATGCTGTAATCGGTATGTCGGGTATACTGTAATCGGTATGTCCGTCCGTCCGTCTGTCTGTTACGCTTTGGGGTACCCATCTCTTATCCGCAACTCCTCTTACACCACTGAGTGAAATGTAATGAAACTTTCATAGAATCTAGAATCTTTATTACATATTGCCATCGTGCACCTCGTATTTTATTTTTTTTGATCCGACACATATTATGGGTTTCCCGGCCACAGCAAAACATGGACTTTGGCCATTATAATAATATGGGAGGCGGGGGGGGTATCATTTCGTGAGCTCATTGCTCACAGTACCTCTAGTTTGGTCTAAAAGATACAACAACACAATATTTTTTAAGTTTTCACAATTGTATTGCTTACAGCTACTCCTCTAGAACACAAGAATTCAACACTACCCTACTGTCTATACATAGCATTATTTGAACACATACAGTGGGTGATGCATAAACTCAGCAGAAAAATTACAATTTCATTTAAATATTTCACATTTTTTTTCCTTAATTGATGATTAGCGATAACTAACCGCAGATTTAACAGAATCACCCTCTGATTTCCCGCCAGAGACAACAGGCTCATTGGCCTTCACGGTCACCTGAGTGTAACAACACGAGCTCTTCAGTGATCTTTCTGTAGGGCCGTAAATCGACCACCTAAAATATTTATATATATAATGTGTTCTATCTCTGAAAGTCTAGAATTAAACCTCTGTAACGATACGCGTGTATTCGAATAAAATTTACAACTGGAATGTCCAAAGTTCTTTGGAGGATCTACGTGTATATTGACATTTGAACCGTTGCTTGGAGAAATATGAATTATAATATAATTTACAAAATAATTATACGTACGTCAATCTGTAGCTTGTAACTTTTCAGAAAAAATTTAAAATATTTTCTTTATCACATGCAATTCTCTATGTAAATTACATGCACCTAGCAATATATCATAAAATTTTGGTGGAAAGGGCTTCTGAATATGTTCCCTCTATTAATGCTATGTCAATTTCCTGTCCCTGAGTCCTTGTTTAACAATCTTCAATGTACACTTGTAGGAGGTAGTGTTAGTCTCTCCACTAAATATTTTCAATGTAAAGCTACGCACTCCCTCATCGGTCCTTCTCTCCAAGAGCCACTGGACTAGATGATTCTAGACAGCTGTTTGGGTGAAATTGGTCTTGTTGGTCTAATTTTGAATTGTTTATATTTCGCCAGTTACAAAGTGTATTTATGTTTGAAAAGTGATGACGACGGACAGCACCAGAAGCAATCGTTCAAACAACCTAAGATATTTCAATTAAAAGCATTTAAGAACCCCCTCTACACTGCACATTAAGGAGTTCCAATTCTAAGGTATTTTTCTGCAGTTAGAGTGGTCTGCCCTTAGATCTAAATTCTTAACAATAGAAATTTACGATATATTACTCAATTTGTAATTAATTCAAGTAATCTTTATATTTTAAAAGGCCAAGATAAATTAACTGAACATGTTATTTACATGTATTTTCTCTATTGAAGTAATCAACAGTGATTTCTATTCACTGATACTGTGTAGTCTTTGAACATTTTTCCCGGGAGTAAATGCCATGCACCATATAGTGAAAATTAAATAAACAAGCACAATATTAACTCCTTTATACAATATATTTTTCTCATGTCCAAAAAAATTGCACTTGTGTAGAGAGGGTCCTTAAATTGGTAAAAGAAAAAGGCTTAACGGCCATCTTTAAAATGGTTTCGTTACCCTCTCCCCCAACCTACTGACCTAATCAAAATTAAAAAAACAACTTAAACCAGAAATGAAAAAAAATCAGCATTGATGTTCATGATTTTCTGCGAAAATCAATTTTCACATACCAATTTCTTTCACCATATTTTGGATAGGGCAAACAAACATTATTTTATAGTTGGTGTATCAAATTGAGATAACATATACACAAATATATGCATTTGAAATGAGTTACAATGAAATGAAAGAACTTAAATAGTAACATTTAAAGTAACTTGAGCATATAATTATAAGAAGAGTAAAACGTTTTTATTAGTATTGTCAACGAGTACCCGGTTAGCCGGCGGATAATTCGAAGATGACTGATCGGTTATTTAGATTAGACATTTTATGTCCAGTATTTATCTTATTTTAAACATGTCAACAGTTCATAATTAAGTAAAAGATCAACCTACCCCCACCCCCCAAAAAACAAAACAAAGATATGGTAATTCTTTAACCTTCAATTCTTTAACTATTCAAGTGTAAGATATACGAATAGAATTAATAAACTAGGTCTTGACGATTGAAATCCATGTAGCTGGTCAAATCAAATTACGGCATCTAGATATACATGAAAACATGTGGTTTTGAACTTTTTAAAAACATTCTTTTTGTAAACGTAATGCACATTTAGTGCGACTGATCTGGTTGATTTCCATATGGGACGACAACTAAAATTTGCTATTTATATTAAAACTTACGATTATCTCTCATGACTTCCACAAACGGCTCAAAATTATAAAATAAAATTTAAAATCAATAAAACTTTTGAAATTATTTTCATAATGAAGCAAAATTTTCAACATATACGTATACAAACTATTTCAAAATTATTAAAATCTGTAGATTCTTAAGCATACATACTTTAAGTACAACTCAATATACTCAAAATTTTACTAAATTCTGTCTGTGACGCCTGGTCTGAATGAACAGCCATTATACGGATATTGTTTTGAAGAAGAATTAAAGCTGTCGTTGTATGAGCATAATTTGAGAGCAAATTTATCTAGAGGATTTTTATATAATCGTTTGTAGAGTCATCGTGTCCGACTCGACTCACCTTAGAAAAATCGTACATTTTATTTGTGGTTTGCGCCAATGATATAGTGTACTCTTGCCAGTTTACATAAAGAAAGTGTGAAAACATTCCACACACGTGTATCACAGCAACTAATTCAAATTTCTGCAATCAGGATGTTAAAGCATGTAACGGCCAGCCGAGTAACCAGGTACTCGATCGGAAAAGGGACATTCAATTTGACAGCATTATTTTTAATAACTGACAATAATGAACATTTTAATGTAATTCCTGATCAGATTTAATTATGTCATTTAATATTTGAAAAATAAAATGCGTTGCTTCCCGTTCATACGCGAAGTCCAGAGCCTCCTTAGTCAGGATACAAGCAGGGGATGACAAATCCCATTGCCCGACGCCCGGGGCTAGTGAATTTTAGGGGTGGGCAAGTAAAATTTTATCATACCACTTGCCCGTGGGCAAGTGACTTATCAAAAATAGAATTTATTTGAAGGCAATAAATTTAAAGCTGGGCATAGGGGCTTGCATTATTTACTCAGCATTTGTCTTCCTCTTTTTTTAAAGATCTAGAAATACAGAATTGGTTAATGGTAGGGCAAGCAAAAATTCAGGTAGGGCAAGTCAATTTTGACCATGTACTTGCCCTTGGACAAGTGCCTTAAAAATCTATTTGTCAGCCCCTGTACAAGGCTACAAACAGAGACTTTTTCATCAAAAAATGTATTTCCGAATTATTTTTTTCCAACTTATTGACATAAAATACCAGTTGCCAAATTCAAAATGATTTGTCCTTTTCACAATAGATTTTAAAAGTTGAAAAACAACCCGTCTACAACTGAAAAAAATGAAGAGAAAAAAGTTATTAATGTTAGAAAAATTTAAATCTTTAAACTGAAATTATACATTACTCTGGATCGCGTTTATCAAGCTAATTATGCTAGGAAGGAACAGACGTTATTCCGCAACAAATGATATTCTAGAACTCACAAAAATACCATATCTATCTCGATCATAAACTGTATAGAATATTTTTTGCCCATCTTCTAGCCGATATAGGTTTTAAGAACTCGGTGGACTAACGGTAAAGACAAAGTTTTAAGACTAAAACGACTAAATATCGCATTAAAACTTAAAAGGACTACTTTACAGTAATAGGCTTATAATGTCTAGAAAGTCCTGTAAATAAGTCACTGATTGAGAGCGTTAGAGGTGTCAGACACCTACTCATTAACGGTACTACGAAACATTACACTACAGTGGCACTCCCTTTACTGCGACAATTGTGTACTCGTGAACACGCGCGTAAAATCATTGCTATTCAATGAGGATGATACATAACCTGTCCTGCTCGTTTTAAACTGACTACAGATAGTTTTAAACTACATGTCTCCAAATATTCCAGCAAAAGTTTTTCTTAAGTTTTTCATGGTGTCTTCTTCATCGGTGGAAGTTCCCCTGGCCGAGGCTCCGCCAATAGAAAACTGGGCTGGGTGGTTCGGCGGTGTAGGTCTGTAAAACATTTAATATCACAATTATCATGGAATTCAATGTACATGTTTTATCCACAATGATGATTGTATCTTGGAGTATTTTTTTAAAAACATTAATCATACTACATGTACTAGTATTCGAGAGAGAATAAATCTGCAAGCATATTATACTATTACATAAAAATAAAACATGTATTTATATTTTCATATCAAATAGAGAACTTTGCATATCATTTTTTCATATTAAACAATAATAAAAATATTAATACAGATCCATGTTTTACTTCTTTTTCATATTAATCAATAATAAAAATGAATACAAATCTGTGTTTTACTTAAAACGCGAGTAAGTTGATACAATTTTCAAAATCATTAGAATAACAATTCCTTACTGGACATGGCAACACTTACCCATTATGCCTTTGTTGTTGCTGCTGTTGCTGATGTTGTTGCGGTTGTTGGTGATGTTGCTGTTGGTGTTGCGGAGTCTGGGAAGACTGCGGTGGGGAGGGTCGCGGGGGAGGGTCATGGTGAGCAGAGGAAGGTGTCTCTCTATTTCCGTTCATGTAATTGTGCATAATACCACTTGTACTGATAGCTCGACTGAAATTATATTGAGCTGACACTAAAAGGGACATTCTACAAGAGTGAGGTTCAAATAAGTTAACCAACACAAAACTCGCCTGATTATTATCATTATCCCCTGACGATGAAATGGGTCACTATCCATGATACCCAATTTAAACACCTGACTATAAGCAAATAGTTGCCTGAAACTTGGCAAAACCTTGAATTCAAGGGTCTACAACCTGCATAAAGTTGACTCTTCATCATTTGCTTATAGGATGTTACATTTATATCTTTACAGGACGTTACATTTAAATCTTTACAGGATGTAACATTTATATCTTTACAGGATGTAACATTTATATCTTTACAGGATGTTACATTTATATCTTTACAGGATGTTACATTTTTATCTTTGCAAGATGCTACATTTATATCTTTACTGGATATTACATTAATATCTTTACAGGATGTTACATTTATATCCTTACAGGATATAACATTTATATCTTTACAGGATGCTACATTGTTATCTTTACAGAATGTTACATTTATATCTTGACTGGATGTTACATTTATATCTTTGCAGGATGTTACATTTATATCTTTACAGGATGTTACATTTTTATCTTCATAGGATGTTACATTTATATCTTTACAGGATGTAACATTTATATCTTCACAGGATGTTACATTTATATCTTTACAGGATATTACATTTATATCTTTACTGGATGTTACCTTTATATAATGTTACATTCATATCATTACAGGATGTTACATTTATATCTTTACAGGATGTAACATTTATATCTTTACAAGATGCAACATTTATATCTTTACAGGATGTTACATTTATATCTTTACAGGATGTTGCATTTTTCTCTTCATAGGATGTTACATTTATATCTTTACAGGATGTAACATTTATATCTTCACAGGATGTTACATTTATATCTTTACAGGATATTACATTTATATCTTTACTGGATGTTACCTTTATATAATGTTACATTCATATCATTACAGGATGTTACATTTATATCTTTACAGGATATTACATCTATATCTTTACTGGATGTTACATTTATATCTTTACAGGATGTCAGGATGTTACATTTGTATCTTTACAGGATGTTACATTTATATCTTTACAGGATGTTACATTTTTATCTTTACAGGATGTTACATTTTTATCTTTAAAGGATATTATATCTTGAAATTTTAAACATATAAATTTGAGAATATCGCCATTATTTTTATTATGTTTTCATATCAATCCTTTGTGCCCGTCATATTTTGTAGTGCTCTATTAAAACAGGAAAATTTGTTAATATTTAGCATTTTGAGATAACCCCTCTGGCAACAAGGCCTTAGAATTTTGTGTTTCTTACATATATTGTATAATATAGTATCACTTATCAAATATTATAGTTTGAACAAAAAGTCTATGTAGTATTTGTAAAATTTGCCTTAAAGTGCTAAAAATTGGCATTTTTCCTATATACTCCAATAGTAAATGTACCTATTTTTGAGACGGTCCCTCAAAAATACCTGGACGGTAGATTTCTCCCAAACTTTGCATGTACACTGAAGTTAAATTAAGCTATAAATGGTATAAAAATGAAGAGTTTTGCTATTGTACTTTTCAAACAATAAAACCTCAGTCGGCCCCCGTAAATAATTTGCATAACCCAACCAATGATCTAAAATGTTTAACTATAAAATGAAAGAACTGTTTCAGAAGAATCTAATCCATGAAACAATTTGTGGGCTCATATTTTAATCAATAGTTAAAGATGCTCAAATTCACTCATTTTCTTCAAAATTCAAGAACATTGTAGTTTCACATAGCCGGAGTATCAAAACTTGGACTCTCAGAGGAATTTTTTTACAGGAAATGAAAGCACTAAGTCTCCACATTGTGTTGATGTTCGAAATGGGACGTAAGGACTTGGTCAGTTAATTGGTATAATGACAGGACCATTTTATGGAGTTTATGAACCTACCTCTTTAACACCTATAAGTAATAACATGTCTGATATGTATAATTAGTTCTTTAACTTGGCAAACCTCTGACTTCAAGGGTCTACAACCTGCATAAAGTTGACTCTTCATCATATGCTTACAGGATGTTACATTTTCATCTTTACAGGATGTTACATTTATATCTTTACAGGATGTTACATTTTTATCTTTGCAGGATGTTACATTTATATCTTTACACGATGTTACATTTATATCTTTACAGGATGTTACATTTTTATCTTTACAGGATGTTACATTTTTATCTTTACAGGATGTTACATTTATATCTTTACAGGACATTACGTTTATATCTTTACAAGATGTTACATTTATATCATTACAGGATGTTACATTTAAATCTTTACAGGATGTTACATTTTTATCTTTACAGGATGTTAGATTTTTATCTTAACAGGATGTAAGATTTTTATCTTTACAGGGTGTTACATTTGAATCTTTACAGGATATTACATTTATATCTTTACAGGATGTTTCATTTTATTTTTACAGGATATTTTTATCTTTACAGGATGTTACATTTATATCTTTACAGGATGTTACATTTATATCTTTACAGGATGTTACATTTATATTGTTACAGAATGTTTTTTTCTAACAAAAATTATGCCCAGTTGTTCTTGAGAAGAAGATTTTATTAAAAAATAAAAATAAGTGAACGAAACACTTTCCCTGAGAGTTTTACAGTATTATAATTTTTGGAACCAAATAATTCTGAAAAAAAAATAGATTTGACTTTTATACTTGAGTAATTGTTTGATTTATTAGCTCACCTGAGCCGAAGGCTCAAGTGAGCTTTTCTGATCAAAATTTGTCCGTTGTCTGTCGTCGTAGTCGTCGTTGTCGTCGTAGTCGTTGTTGTCGTTGTAAACTTTTCACATTTTCATCTTCTTCTCAAGAACCACTGGGCCAATTTTAACCAAACTTGCCACAAAGTATCCTTGGGTTACATTTATATCTTTAATAAGAGAAAAATTATTGGCATTTTTAAAAAAATCTTCTTCTCAAGGGGCCAGGAAAGATGTTACATTTATATTCAAGTTACATGACCCCTGGGGGTATGTTCAAAGTTTAACATAGGAATATATAGGAAACATCTTTAAAAATCTTCTTCTCAAGAACCACTTAAACTCAGGTGGAATCATCCTCAGGTAGTGTTGTTTGTTCAAGTCATGACCCCAGGGGGTAGGGCGGGGCCAAAATGGCCGATCAAAGTTTTACATAGGAATATATAGGAAAAATCTTCTTCTCCAGAACCACAGGGCCAGGAAAGATGAAACTCATGTGGAGTCATCCTCAGGTAATGTAGATTCATGTTTGGTCAAGTCATGAAAAAAAATAAAAAATATATAGGAAAAATCTTTAAAAATCATCTTCTCAAGAACCACTGGGCCAGGAAAGATGAACACTTGTGGAATCATCCTCAGAGAGTTTTACAGTATTATAATTTTTAAAATCTTCAAGGATGTGGAATCATCCAAATAATTTTGTGAAAAAAAAAGTAATATTTATATGGAATCATCCTCAGGTAATGTAGATTCTAGTTCGTTCAAATTATGATCCCCTTGGGGGTTTATCAAGCCCCCCCCCCCCCCAACCCCACTTAAGTTAACTTACAGTTCTGATTGATATGTGTTTTTTTCCTATTGTGCTCATAGGGATGTGTGCAATTTTATCGGTATATCGTGATTATTGTGAGTACAATTGAAGGAAGTTCAAAAAATGTTGAACATAGTAAAAGAACAGCATCTTAACATTCAAACATTCTTTATATCATGAAAAAAACCTAAAAAGGGAAGTAATCTTTTTCCGACATATCTTTAAAAAAAATGGAGATTATTCATTTAAAATCATTGTAAAAGTATCATTATCATATCGATATAATTGTGGGGGGGGGGGGACGCGTGATATATCGCGATATGAAATTTTGGCAATACCCATTCCTAAATAATTACATAATTGACTCATTTAAACAAAATTTTACATGTTAATTTGAACTGGAATCTTATTTACCTAAGGATGCAGTTGGTCACCGGACAAAATGGTTTAAAATTTTTACACAAGTGTGAAAGTTTTTTGTAACAATTCTGATCACATTATTTATTGCTATAGATACACATGATATCTGAGAGTGCGTTGAGTTATACCTGACTGCCCTTAGAGACGGTGTAGGTTTCAGGCAGTGTTGCATTTTTGCCAGAACTAAATCTACAATATGTTTTCGATCTTCTTCCTGACTTTCTCCAAGTAAAGTCATCGCCGAGTCATTAAGCTGAAAATTGAAATGATAAATAAAGATTGTCAGTAATGTATCAATACTCCGACAATACTTTTTATAATACATGTAAATGTTATCATGAATTAACGAACAATACTTTTTAGGATTTTTTAAATCTTTAAGCATTAAAACTAAATCTCTCTCTCTCTCTCTCTCTCTCTCTCTCTCTCTCTCTCTCTCTCTCTCTCTCAGCAGTTCGTAAACATGTACTTGTCTTTTCTTTATAATTTGTTAAACATTAGAATTCAGAAATGAAACAACTATTTACGCCAATGATGTATTCTTTTCCATCTTTTCCTTGTACTGCTTCCAGCGCTAACATATCCAGTCCCCCGAACATTAAACTACACTCGTCTACCCACGATCTAAATCTGTTAACAATTAAATGTTAGATTACCCTAAAATATCAAACTTCAATTCTCATTTGAAAAACATATAATGTATAACCATATGTGCTGTTTGAACTACATGTAATTGTATCCAAAGTAACTTTTACTTTAAAAAGAAGAGAAAAAATGGATTACTATAATTATTTTAAGAGTCAATTTGTTTCCTTCATTCACTCTTATAAATGAGCAAACAAGCTTAATTCACATCAGCCAAGCATTATAAGATCAGTCTAGAAGTATTTGAAATAGAAACATCGTTCGGAACACGGAGAAAGAAAAAAAAACCCAGAGTTGATGACATCACCGTAGAACTTTTAAAGTCTGGCACAGAAATATCAGTTAATAAAACCATATACATAATACCCATTATGTCAGGATTCTTATTCATTCTCATGATTGCCTGAATCAAAAAGAAAATAAGCAAAGAAAAAAAAACAATTTGGTACTCGCTGGAACTTTGAACAACCAAACTAGATGACCTCAATATACTGCAGATAATAGTCATGTTACTGTTTTCATGTCAAGCAGTAAAGAACAGATATAACAAAAGACATCTTATCTAGATCCAAAGATTTAAACACCAGTTCTGCACAAAAATTATAAAATTGAGGTTAAAAACATCAAAAACCAGGAATTAATAATTGGAATATGGTTAAAACCACTGTCTATCCCTTTGGCCGTGAATAAAGAAGGAGACACAGACAGACGGAAGCAAAGAAGACGTGGACATGCTAGAGTAGCTTACAATATACTCTCAAATATGGTCAAACAGCGAAATAAAAAAGGACCATCTCGAGTATCTTCAAGTCATTTCTCATATATTTGTTGAATAGTGCTGAATCATTAAAGAAAATAACAAATGAAATTTTAGTAAATTTGCCAAAAAATGGAAAATCAAAGTAAAATCATTAGAACAAGAAAATGGAAATGAATGGGTCATTTGATGAGAATGAGAACAGATAGCCCCGCTAGAATAGCCTTGACGTGTATTCCAGGACAGAAGAGACAAGGCAACGAAAGGAAACATGGAAAGCTGAGTAGAAAGAGAAAGGAAATAACTGTTTTAAATCGTGAACGCTGCCTTCAACGCGTACGATAGACAGGAGAGGATTGATCCAGGATTGTTGCTCCATACGAAAATACAGAATTAAGTCATGTCAATGACACAAGTTTGTGTAGCCTTTACAATGTTTATACTGGTTCTAGGGAGTCTAAAAGCTTTCCATAACATGATAGTGTTTCTTAAAATATAACCATTATTAATAACACCTTTTTCAACCTTAATAGGTGATATATCCAAATTGAAAAGGTGATATCACCTTCATATATTCGAAAGTGAAGTCACCTATTCAAATTGAATAAGTGATACCAATAAATGGCAACAAATATATACAAATCGACACCTCATACTCAGTACGATTTAAGAAAATTGTCTGTATTTTTAATTTTCTTACAAATTCATGACATACTAATATTCCTTACCTTTCATTCATTGCTATTTGTTCGAGCATGGCAGATCCTGTGTTCGCTTTCCAATTGCCAGATATGGATTTCCTCCTGAAAAAAAGTCAAGTAGATTCACCTACTAAGTGAGGTAATGTTTACGGATTGTTTGCAAATCCATCGCTAATTTTTTTTTACTTCCATCATGAACTTCATTCATGGTCGTACAAATGTTTGGCTGTGTTTGTTCCCTATATTGAAAACAGAGCATAAATATTAGACTTAAAACCAGAGCTTGAGTGATATATGTGTTTTTCTTCGACTTATTCAACTTCTTTCTGTACCGTTCAAGTCTGTTGCACTCGCATGCATCATCACTTGGTTTCAGGACTGTGTATTTTTTCTATTATCCCTACAGGCTGAGTCTGCTGCCCAATCTTATTTACTTCTGTGAATAAAATATTCTTAAAAGCCACATGTAGAAAGTCAAGATGGAAAGCCAAAAGAGAAAAAAAAACCGCACCTCCAGGACACATGTACATTTTACATAGTTAGAAATTGTCACTTCCGTTCTTTTAGTTTCAGTACTAGTACTAATAAGGGTATAAAGGACGTTTTGGTTTACTACATTTTCATACGGCAAGACTAGTACAAATCGGCAAACGATAGAAGAAAAGTTATTCATTTATTTTTAAGCTACAATATACGTCTCACAAAATAAAGGTAGGAAAAGTGTAGATATTGAATAAAATCAAGTGTAAACAGGGTACCCCTGGAATCCAAGACGCTGTCTTACCTTCAGTCTTTTTTATATGTATGCAGTAGTAATATGATACAATTTTATAAAAGCGCTCATTAAAGCGATTTTTAATTATTTTTTCTTAATGAGTGGATTCAGACATATCTAGAAAAGCACTCATTACACCATCCTGAAATCAAGGGACCATGGAGTTTTCCCCAACTAACAAGTATATATTGACAAAACGTCAGAAATACTCAAGCTGTAGAAAGTCAATTAGGAAGTGTCATTAATATCCTAAAATGGTATAAGATGAGGGCTACATGTATTGAGTTCAATCTTCTGTTGAAAAATTATATGTACATGAAACAAAATTCATATGTTGATTTAATTAGAAGAAACATAATCAATCGTACTACTTTCAGGAATATTTTATAGAGCACAGTAACGTTGCCGTTTCTTAATTCAATGAAGTATTTTTTTATGTAGACATTTAGTATACTTCAAACTATATATGTTTTGTTTGTATTTTTTACTTAATATCAATCCCCCTTCGTAACAAGTAAACTTTTCAATACTGAGCTGATTTGTGTTTTTTAACTAGCCCATGTGCTCAGGTGAGCTATGTGGCCCATGGGCCTCTTATTAAATTGATTTTCATGTAAAGTTATCAATATTAATTTTTTATCATAATCTTAATATCTTTGAATATACAGACGTTTTAAAGGTAAGCTTCATTTTTGTTTCTAGAAATATTTTTTATCTACAAAAATAATATATATTTGTGTTTTTAATTTGAGTAAATCGATGACCCAGCATCGTTTTAGATAACTCGAGCCCCTCTAGGGCTTGAGTAATTCAGAGGTCTATTATCTGATTCTGAAATGTCTTAAAATACACTGGAAAAAAACCTCGTGAAAGTCAATAAGACTGGTAAATTTACTGTTCATACAATCACTACCTTCAAAGTAGTGTTACTAGGCATGGAGTAGATTTACTAGCTAACAATAGTAAATCTAGAATTTATGAGGAACTTTCACTAGGTTTGTATGTATCTATACGACCCCCGCTCCACGTAAATGGTATTTTGGTTAGCAATGGTGCCACTCTTTCGAAATTGTGAATGTCCTGGCCTCTAGATTAAATCGTAAAATATTGAACATGCGAATTTAAAGGGGCATGGGCACGGTTTCAGCTAAAATTTCAAAATTTATTTTTCCATTTTTACAAATAATTTATCTAAGGTCTTTCTAATGATCATCAAAAATTTGAACGCCAGTCGTCCAGATACAATACAGATTTAGAGCTCCAAACCTTTGTTATGTAAACAAGGCTACTGTCATGTTTTTGTTTACACAAGTTAATATACTAATATACGTTCGTTCAAAGTAGATACTTTCAAATAAAAGTAAATTTTAGATACAATTTGACAGTTACTATTGATTTGTTAAACTTCATTTTGTCATAAACTTATGACAATGATATTTTCTATATATAAACAAAAACAAGGCACGCGCCTTGTTTACATTATGAAGAACTTAAAGTTCTGCATCTTGTTTGTTAAGCAACAAATGATGTTCAAAATTTTGCTAATCAATAGATGATGACTTAAATAGGAATTGGAAACATTAAAATTGGTTTTAAAAAATCAGTTGAAACTGTGTCCGGGCCCCTTTAAAAACGTTGACAGTGTTACACTTACATATAAGCCTTATAATTGTTGCCAATCTTCTGGATATGAATGTCATAGAGTGTATCCACATACAGCTCTGTCGTGGAGTAACAATGGCTGACCCCCACCACGCCGGCGATGTCCTGGAAATCATAGTGGTTAGCTACTCTGACCTAAAACAGGAATGACAAATAAAGGAAAGTCATTACGAAGAATATCTATAAGGTCTCACATAAAATCATATGGCTTAAAAAAAGGGGGGATAAACTCACATACATGTATGGCGTATTCTTGACCAAAATCAAAAGACCATTTTATTCATTTTATTTTAACTTTACATGAGGGTAAGACTTTTCTGTAAATTATGTTATTTAAATCAATCATGTTTCAAACATATAAAAAAAATTGAAAATAATAACCGATTTATTTACAGTAAAATGATATAGAACCAAGACCCAAAGGACCTTAGACACATTGAAGGCTTATGACGGGAGGGGGGACAATTCTATTCTATAAGCTGTTACTTCTAATAATACTGGAAGTAGAAACATAACTTACCTTTCCAACACCTGAGTGAGCATGTCCTATTTTAACAACAGCTGGAAATTTAGGTGTGATAAGCTGAAATAAGAATGAAAAACAAGATGTCCATGAGTCACAACGCTAACCTGAACACTTTTGCTAGAGAAAACAAAATCATTTCAGTATTGAAGAGTTTCTCATTAAAATTAATTTTTGTTTTGATACAATCCAGGGGGTCGTAACATTACGAGTACTCAAGTATAAGACAGTACTTATGTAGGACTTAAGTACAAACCGTAAGAAGAAGCATGCATATAATTGACAATCTTAGCAAAACTTAGGCGGTCGGTAGAGGTACATAAGTATGTCTTGACTTTTTATACACATATTTAAAATCATAAATTTTTTTTTTGCTGTTTTTTATTACATTCCTCTATTTTATACATGAACTGAAGAAAATGATTATCTCTATTAATTAATGGTATATGATTTTTCATTGGGGTGGGGTTCAACGATTCCCATAACACGCTCAACATCGCATACATGTAGATCCAAGATTTCATTTTTGGGTTGTTTGTTAAATACCAGTTGGTACATGTGGACAGGACCCCCCTCCCCCCGATATTCAAACCCGGGGCTCATTGGACTTTTTTTCACTTATATTTATTACATTTATTCATTATGTGTAGAATAGGAAACAATCGCAAAACCCCCAAAATAATCGCTCCACAAAAAAATACCCTACTATACATTGTAAGAGAGAGATTTGACGACGGAAAAGCTGAAATGATCTCGTGTGTCGTATAAATATATAGTTGTTATAGTTGGCTTATATTATCTATAGTCAGTATAACATCCAAACTTGAAACAGATGTGGCAGTCTCAGTGGTGTCTTTCATTTCAAGGTTCAAGTATGCAAACTCGATTCTGTTCTAACTGAAGATGCTTTTTAAAGAAGATTTTGAAAAGAAGTAATTTTTCAAGGACACCATTAATTTTAACTTCTTTAACTCTCCTTAAAATGACGTGGTTCTTTATTGATTGTGTTAAAATGGCCCAGTTGTTCACGAAAAGAAGCCTAATGACTGAAGAAAATACACGAAACGTTTTCAGATTACACAAGACCGACAGAAAGACAGACAAACTCTTAAAAATTATGGGAAAAATAATGAAATTTACAATAATATACACGTTAATCAAAATACATGTACCATATTTTGCCTGAAATGTATTATCAGATTTAAAAAAAAAAAAAAAACATGATAAAAAGCAAAACTTTGCTAGGAATTCTTACTGCATTAAAATAATCATTGCTTAAATTAACATTAAAACCCTTTCTAGGTATGCAGTATTAAGCAATCGGTTCAAAACACGTGGAAAGGCAACTTGATATGAGCCCCCTACACCTCCGACTCTAGCACATGTTTGGGTACAATAGTCTTCTGTGCGATATATTGTGGACATGGGTGTAGATTATTCGATAATATAATCCTTCTTTCAACACATCTCAAAGCTATGTTCACAAAGAATCATTACCACAAGAGCAGGAAACCTGATAAAGCCCATTCAATGAGTTAATGATTACACATAAAAGGAATTCCAAAGCTCATGATACTCTTAATAAAAACATGTGATTGGGGATTATTCTAGATCTGTAAATTGGTGCATTTTGATTAAAGATATTGGTTTGTGAATTTTGTGGAAATCAGATGGATTTATTTGTATAATTGTGAGTATACGCAAACTTATAATTTTTAGCAATATTCCTTACTGAATTTTAAAGCTACTGCATGTAGATTTTGTCTTTGTTAAATACCTTTCATATAATTTTGATAAACAGTATAATATATATAATGAGAGAGAGAGGGGGGAGAGAGAGAAATAGAGAGAGAAAGAGAGAGAGAGAGAGAGCACAATACCAAAGAATAATTCCATTCTTAATTAGGATAAACAGAATAAGCAATTCTTAATTCAAAGTAGAGATGAATTACAGAGATCTGAGGAAATGGGACTGTTTGGGAGTAAAATATTGACATGCCCTGTCCGAAAACCCATACAGCCAGTCTTAGGTCAAGATCTCACGACCCATACAGCCAGTCTCATGTCAGGTTCTCCGACGACCCATACAGCCAGTCTTACATGTAGGTCAGGTTCTCCGACGACTACATGCTAGCACCAACCAACTTTTTTATTCAACACAGGCCCCACCCTGCACCTTTGCACAATTTAGAATCTACACTACCCAAGGAGACTATCATATTAGTTTAAGGTTTTCTGACCCAGTGGCATTAAAAAATTGATCAATAATTGATCTGATAAGAAACGAAGACAATGCAGAGCGGGCATCATCTTGCAAAGACCATATCTTTATATATAAAACAAGACCATATCTTTATACATAAAACAAGACCATATCTTTATATATAAAACAAGACCATATCTTTATATATAAAACAAGACCATATCTTTATATATAAAACAAGACCATATCTTTATATATAAAACAAGACGGCATTCGACATCGATCCCGATGCAAATCGTCACCTCCGTTTCACACAGGACATTAATCACCAACAAACAAACAGACACGCGAGCGGTTGCGTTTCTATTTATCATCCAACTCCGTTGCGAGGATATAATAAAGAAAATAATACTGAATACAAAACCATATCATATGAAGGCGTGTACATGCACCACATAATGGTTAAATCGCTGTGTGTGAGAATGAACCCCGAACCTCCAATGCATCCTTCCCCCAATTTAAATTATCAACCAATGACTTTTTCTTGACAATCAATCAAAAATTTTTATAAGGGTTATATGCACAGTTAAATATAACTAGGGCTGAAATACATATAAAATCAGCAAGTCAATGTATAATGTCAACAAATAAGCATAAGATTCCTCCAAAATGAGATATGGGTTGTTCTTTACTATGATTGAGCAAAAACATTAAATTTAAATCAACCAAGACTTAAGAATAATGAAGAACAGATAAGAGAACAATGTGTCTCTGTGTTTGAATTCTAATAAACTATTTTTTTTTGTAGTTTGTGCCTATCCATTGTCATGTATGAAGGATAAATCTACGTTGTGACCCGGACGTGAGCATTTCTTTTTTATAATTATTTATCAAGAATATCCGTTTACTTTGCAGATGGTAAAGGTTGCATTTGAATTCTCCTTATAGAATTTTATTTGGTTTAATTGACTTGTATATCCACACATAAACGGGTTTATTTTTAAAATATTTACATATAAAGACTAAATTAGGTTTCCTACTCGAAATTTCCACTGATATTAATTTCAAGGCATCACTCTTTGTTAGAATACCAAGGTGAGTTACAATTTTTCGTAAGTCGTAAGTAAATACCCTTGGTTATATGTCAACGGTCAAACTTTTCCTTTTGCTGGGCAAAAAAAAAAAAAAAACTTTCGTCTGAAATAATTTAAGCGAAGGATGGTAAAGAAATATACAATTGAAACAATTCATTCCTAGTGATATTAAACTTTGATACTTGTACATTTATGCGACCTCCGTGAAAGACATTGACATACTGGTTCGTCATGAAAAATGGCCAATGATAGGTTGAATTTATTGCAAGAGATTCAGCGTTATACCCTAAACAAGATATAGGCTATTGGACATACAAATACATATATACTAGTAGTCGGACGGACGACGCACGATCGTTATTAATATCCGCATCTTAAATGAAGCGATATCAATATGAAATCAATCGTTTTCCCTTGACAATTAAAGATTGAAAGAAGCTCAGAGGAATGCATGTATCATTTGAAAGAAACGATACTATGTTTGTACTTTTATCTTACTCTTAAGTATGATAAAATATCATATTAAAAAAAATAACAACGTCAGGTCATCTTAAAAACAATGTTTGCTTGCTCTGTCCCCACTCATGGTAAAATTACTGGTTCGGTACGTAGGTGGAATATTTTTCTCAAGAAAAACTCAACATATTAGTTGACGGGATAGGAGGAATAAAAGATGTAAAAATAGGTTTTGAGTCAGGTCCTTTTTAGTCAATTTTTTAGAGATGGTCTAAGCAGAAGATGCACTAAGAGAGCTGCACTGCAGGAATTTTCAGGAGCGACAATTGTATTGATTTAAGACAAAAGATTTAGACACAGATATGAATAGAGCATATCAGATCTTTCGCTGACAAGATAAATGGCACCTATCTTTTGTTAAAGCTAAAGAACCGGAATGAATATTGTAGTCATTCAGAAGATAACTTGATAATTTGAATTGTACTTGTTTGCACCAAATTAGCTTAATGATAGAAGCAAATATCAATGTCCAAATAGGTCAAGGAAATGAACATAAATAAATTGGATCATAAGATTTGAAAAAAACAAACAAATTGTAGTCTTGAAACTCTTAGTGTATACACATGTAAACTTTTTTTTTTATATCAGCTGAACATGATCTTCCTTTACACTTTGTTTGTGTTGTGTACCGCCGTCACAGAAGTATGGACATGTACTTGCTTCCCAACACACATTCAGAATCACTACTGTAAAGCTCGGATTAGTGAGTACGCTTCAACTTTTTTTCAGTTTAATACAAACAATGCTATTGATTACAATACCAAAGTTTTCATATTATTGAGAGGGAGAGAGATTTTGTTCGTGATTTTCTTTTCAGTTTTGGTCGCTACGGTAAAGGACAGCGAAGACGTTTATCCAAACAGTATCATTAAGGCACCAAATATGATGAATCCGGAAAATCCATATGCAAGAATGCCAATCGAAAAGAAGTATAAAGTCAGGATACATCGCTTTTTTAAGGTACATTATAAGTGAGAAAAGCTGTCAGTTGAACAAGCTGACATGTTCTAGAAATATGCACATACCGGGTAATTGGTAAAGTATCCGATGTTCAATTTAGGGCAAGGAACTGCTGGGAAAGCATGGAAAAAGAGTGAAATACATCCATACCTCGGCGTCGGGGGCTGCTTGTGGACTTACACTCAACAAAGGCAAAACGTACATCCTGTCAGGTCAGCTTTTAAAAGGTTTAAAAGGAGTAAAAGGTTCACATCATTTTAGCATTAAAAAGTGTTGAAATCTGTGTTTGTAGGTAAGAATTAAGATAAGACCAAGTATAAAATTAATTTACAGCCAGGATACAAAGACAGGGAGAGATCTGGTCAAGTATGTGTGACTGGGTTCAAAATTACAAAACACTGAACCGACATCAGCTTAAAGGGATCAAATTCTTCTACAAGAGGAACTGTAAATGTTCAGTAAGTTATTTTCCTCAAATTATACTTAAATTATTTCACACAATTAATTTACGTAATTTCGTATGTTTTGTTCCGCTTTTTCAGCTCTCCTGGTGAGAGACCAGAAGAGATGCGATAGTAAGATGCCCGTCGTCCGTCCGTCTGTCTGTTTGCTTGTAAACATTTTTTTTTTCAAAATGCTACTCCTCCTACAGTTTTGGTCTTGTTTCAATATAACTTGAGACACAAGCTGACTACACAAGATACAAAATTTAGTGCATGTATGGATGGTTTTGATGCATGAACGGTGTTGCCATGGTTATTAAAAAATACCAGACTGTAGCTCTCCTGGTTTGTACTTATAACAAAGGAAGAGGAAAGTAGCAGTTGGGACTTAAAACTTTACAAAAGCAATAAATAGAATAACGAGATCCTTGATTAAGTCTCTTTGTGGCAAGATTGCAATAAAACTACAACTGTAGGAGTAGTATTTTAATAAAATTTAACAGAATTTTCAATTTAAATTACTATGGCAACATCAATCATCAAAATCAAAAACACAAAACTGATTTTATGTATCTCAGTGTAGTCTACTTGCATGCCAAATTATATTATAATCAGACTCAAACTGTATTTGGGATAGCATTTTGAAAGTACCGTTTATACTCGCTTATAAGTGTATTTTTTTAAACTGATGTTAGAAAGATTGACCTTCTAAAATACCAATCTTTTTATATCTCACCCATAAGTCAGACATAGAGTTTTGGACCAAGGTTGAACTCTAAAAAAGCCGACTTATAGGCGAGTATATGCGGTATTTTACAGTAATTTCTACTCTTAGTAACCAAGGCAACACTGTTCATAGAAATCAAAAACCGATACTAGTATATAGAGTTATGTATATTAGTGTAGTCTACTTGTGTGCCAAGTTATATTGAAATCAGACCAAAACTGTAGGAGGAGTAGCATTTTAGATGTATTTCAAAGAAATTTCTATTTTTAGTAACCACAGCAACACCGATCATCGAAATCAAAAACCGATAAACAGATCGAATTATGTGTCTTAGAGTAGTCTACTTGTGTGCCAATTTATCTTGAAATCAGACCGAAGATGTAGAAGGAGTAACATTTTGAATGTTTTTCACAGAAATTTCTATTTTTAGTAACCACGGCAACACCGATCATCGAAATCAAAAACCGGAACACAGATTTATGTATCTTTGTGTAGTCTACTTGTGTGCCAATTTTAATGAAATCAGACCAAAACTGTAGGAGGAAGAGCATTTTGAATGTTTTTCACAGAAATTTCTATTTTCAGTAACCACGGCAACACCAATCATTGAAATCAAAAACCGATACACAGAATTATGCATCTTTGTGTAGTCTACTTGTGTGCCAATTATATTGTATCAGACCAAAGCTGTAGGAAAAGCAGCATTTTGAATGTTACTCACAGTAATTTCTATTTTTAGTAACCATAGCAACACCGATCATCGAAATCAAAAACCGGTACATAGATTTATGTACCTTTGTGTAGTCTACGTGTGTGCCAATTATAATGAAATCAGACCAAAAATGTAGGAGGAGTAGCATTTTGAATGTATTTCAAAGAAATTTCTATTTTTAGTAACCACGGCAACACAGTTCATCGAAATCAAAAACCGGTACACAGATTTATGTATCTTTGTGTAGACTACTTGTGTGCCAATTATAATGAAATCAGACCAAAAATGTAGGAGGAAGAGCATTTTGAATGTTTTTCACAGAAATTTCTATTTTCAGTAACCACGGCAACACCAATCATTGAAATCAAAAACCGATACACAGAATTATGCATCTTTGTTTAGTCTACTTGAAATCAGACCAAAACTGTAGGAGGAGTAGCATTTTGAATGTTTTTCACAGAAATTTCTATTTTTAGTAACCATAGCAACACCGATCATCGAAATCAAAAACAGGTACATAGATTTATGTACATTTGTGTAGTCTACGTGTGTGCCAATTATAATGAAATCAGACCAAAAATGTAGGAGGAGTAGCATTTTGAATGTATTTCAAAGAAATTTCTATTTTTAGTAACCACGGCAACACCGTTCATCGAAATCAAAAACCGATACACAGAATTATGTATCTTTGTGTAGTCTACTTTTGTACGAAATTATATTAAAATTAGAACAAGAGGCCATGGGCCATATCGCTCACCCGAGCATTGTAGCTAGGAAAAAGTAGTAATTGGTTTACTATTGAAAAGTTTGAATCCAAAAGTTTGGCCCCGCCCTACCCCCGGGGGTCATGATTTGAACAAACTTGAATCTACACTACCTGAGGATGCTTCCATATAAATATGAGAAATTATGGCTTTGCTATTCTAGAGAAGAAGATTTTTAAAGAATTTTCCTATATTTTTCTATATAAAACTTTGGTCGGCCATTCTGGCCCCGCCCTACCCCCGGGGGTCACGATTTGAACAAACTTGAATCTACACTACCTGGGGATGCTTCCATATAAATATGAGCAATTCTGGCTTTGTTGTTCTTAAGAAGAAGATTTTTAAAGAATTTTCCTATATATTTCTATATAAAAATTTGGTCGGCCATTGTGGCCCCGCCCTACCCCCGGGTGTCATGAATTTAACAAATTTGAATCTACACTACCTGGGGATGCTTCCATATAAATATGAGCAATTATGGCTTTGCTGTTCTTGAGAAGAAGATTTTTAAAGAATTTACCTATATATTTCTATGTAAAACTTTGATCGGCCATTGTGGCCCCGCCCAACTTCCCGGGGTAATGATTTGACCAAATTTGAATCTACACTACCTAGGGATGCTTCCATATAAATATGAGCAATTATGGCTCTGCTGTTCTTGAGAAGAAGATTTTTAAAGAATTTTCCTATATATTTCTATGTAAAACTTTGGTCGGCCCCGCTCTACTCCCGGGGGTCATGATTTGAACAAATTTGAATCTACACTACCTGATGATGCTTCCATATAAATATGAGAAATTATGACTTTGCTGTTCTTGAGAAGAAGATATTTAGATTTTCTTCTTACTTTATAAAAAATTGATCCCCCACTGGGCCCTTTCCACCCCCATGGATCATGATTTGAACAAATTTGAATCTTCACTACCTGAGGATGCTTCCATATAAATATGAGAAATTATGACTTTGCTGTTCTTGAGAAGAAGATTTTTAAAGAATTTTCCTATATATTTCTATATAAAACTTTGGTCGGCCATTGTGGCCCCGCCCTACCCTCGGGGGTCATGATTTAAACAAACTTGAATCTACACTACCTGGGGATGCTTCCATATAAATATGAGCAATTATGGCTCTGCTGTTCTTGAGAAGAAGATTTTTAAAGAATTTTCCTATACATTTCTATATAAAAATTTGGTCGGCCATTGTGGCCCCGCCCTACCCCTGGGGGACATGATTTGAACAAAATTGAATCTACACTACCTGAGGATGTTTCCCCATAAGTTTCAACTTTCCTGGCACAGTGGTTCTTAAGAAGAAGATTTTTAAAACATACCACCAAATTTTCACTAATTCTCAATTATCTCCCCTTGAATAAGGGCCATTTATTTGAACAAACTTGAATCCCCTTTACCCAAGGATGCTTTGTGGCAAGTTTGGTCGAAATTGGCCCAGCGGTTCTTGAGAAGAAGTCGAAAATGTGAAAAGTTTACGTACAGACAGACAGACGGACGCCGGACAAAATGTGATCAGAAAAGCTCACTTGAGCCTTCGGCTCAGGTGAGCTAATAAAACTGCAGGAGGAGTAGCATTTTGAAAAATTGTTTACAGACAGACAGATGGATGGACAACGGACGCATTACTATCGCATAAGCTCTTCTGGTCTCTAACCAGTAGAGCTAATAAAAATCATGTTAAATTCCTTTAAAACACTTCTCCTAAACTTTGTTCTGATTTCAGTATGATTTTGCACACAAGTAGAATTTACTGCTAAGAAGAGTCCAGAGGAGCTTATGCGATTGTAATGTATCCGTCATTCGTCCATTTGCCTGTAAACAATTTTTCAAAACTCTACTCCCCCTGCAGTTTTTGTCTAATTTCTATATACTGAGTAAACTGGGTACACGATTTGACTACACTAAGATGGGGATACATGTAATTTAGTGTATTTCCTGCCACAGTTCTGGTCTGATTCAAATATAACTTCAATATTTGATCTCGATAAACGGTGTTGCAATGGTTACTAAACATAGACATTTCTAAAGAATAATTTCAAAATGCTAAGTACTCCTCCTACAGTTTTGGTTTGATTTCAGTTAAGTTAAACACACAAGTATACTAAGGTAAGGTACATAATTCTGTTTATTATTGCCTGTTGCAAAGTTTCAAATCCAAGTAGTTTTTTTTTGTATGTACAGACCAGTAGAGCTACAGTATCATCAGAGACTTCTGGTTAATGAAATTACTTTTTCTTGATATAGTGAAAATGTAAAATAAGATGCCAATGAACTCGTTTTACAGGTGTCCTGGTGTCAAGGGAGTTACTGCCGGGGTCCCGGTCCCAAAGAATGCGAATGGATCCCCAAAATGTACACAGACTGCCTCCAAGAACACGGCTTTTGTATGATCAATTCTAGGGGTGTTTGTCAGTGGAAGAAAAACAAACAGTTGAGAAAATGTTTAGAGAAAAATAATCAAAACATGCCAGGAGAAGAAAATGAGTATTACGAAATACCAAGAGATGGTCCGCATAGACCCGGGGAGTTCCAAAGCTGGCGATCATCACAAAATCACGAGGTGTATTTACCTAACAGATACGATATAAAATGAGCTGTGTTGCTATCACTAGCAAACAATTCTACAGAGGCCTTACTGTACATTTGTATAAATCAGCTAACTACATTTTTTCAATAGAATATTAACTCACCAACCCTTTTCCTTTTGCCAAAGAATTCAGTCATTTTCCCCCATTTTTTTTTGTCATAAGAATATTAAAAAAAAAATAGACATCACTGAATGATGTTCAAAATTATGAAGAAGCTGCCAACACTACATCATGAAAAATGATCTTTGTCTATAATCATGCCAATCCTTTCAACCTATGAAAAACATTTTTGACAGGAATCAAAGTTAAAAAGAACTTGTTAAAATTTTTTCTAGCACTTAAGTAATTTATGCCGCAGGTCCACAGAAATAAATTTGTATACGGGTTTTAATGGGTACATCAATAAATGAATAAATAAAGTGTACATATATGACTCTTTTTCTTACATAATTGGAAAAGTAAACATACGTGTCATTGGTTCTGCAAGACCGGTAGAAGTTGGAAATCCCCAAATCTATACTTGTGTCTTTTCTGGGGCCCGTTTCACAAAGCTTATTTAAGACTAAGTTATATCTTAGGAAAGAACTTTTTCCTAAGTTCATTACTTATCCGTTTCACTAACCTCGTCTTACCTTAGGATATTCCAAAGTTATGTCATAACTTTAGGACAGGTAAATCGATGACTTAGGAAGAAATCAAATATTGCAACTGCATATCCAAGATTTCTTATGGAGAGAGAGAATGTGTTTGGGGAGAGAAAATCCAGTGGACTACTAGTATATGAATGATTGTGTTCTCTCCAGGTTAAAACTGCTTTACTTTGCATGGAATTACTAGGATTTCAATAATAATGGCAAACATGTGTCAAAATTTGTTCAAGGTATATAAAAATGTCCGTTCATTTGGGCCACTGAAGCTGGCGAATTAGATGGTACACATGCTGGAATAATTCCCCATCATCAGAAGAGCACGCCTTTGTAAAAAAAAACCACACACATGATTTGATCCATTATTATACATGCATACATACATTATGTTTTTATCTACATGAATATGTATATTTATTATACTCCCGCTTGAAAAGCGGGAGGGTATATAGTAATCGGTACGTCCGTCCGTCCGTCTGTTACGCTTTGGGGTACCCATCTCTTGTCCACAACTCCTCTCATACAACTGAATGATTTTTTTTATATGTCCATTACTAGTATTTTAATCGATATTAAATTAGAACTTGAAAAATGATATTTTAAATATATGGAAACACTTGTTCACTTTCGAGAAGCGTGTGTTTCTTGATGAACCCCCAACCAAGCTCCGGATATATATCAATACATGTAGATGTTTCTCCAAAGAATGGTTACATCTAATCTCCTTTAGGACGTTATTATGGAGGGGACACAAGCATAACGCAGTTTTGTTTTCTATAGTATCCAATACATCGGTAAAATTATTATTATTACACCTCCCGTGCTCCTCCAGTTCCTACGGCTTTGAGATTACAACCAGTTCTCCTTTTCGCTTAATACAGTTTATAGCAATGCATGAGATTTCAATAAATTTCCTTTTTTTTAAATTCCTCCTTTAGTATTTTCATACCTGTAGTCGCGATTTTGTGAATTTTTTTCTGCATGGCATCCTTATTATATAATAATATATTGATGTATAATATGATATGTGTGATATGTGTGAGAAAGCTTTACCCAGCACAAACAACTAACGTGGAGTAGTCATTGACAAACAATTTATTTTTAAAAATGTCCTCCTATGTCTTCGCTAAACGAAGCGATCATTTATGAATTTCATTTAATAATTGACAAGTAGAAAAGTATAGTAAAAACAATACCTGGGATCGATACCTTATTAAGATCAAATTTTTTAAAAAGTAAACGTATAACATGTAGGACAATGTTTAAAAAAATTAAAATATGTGCCCGGAAGGGAAGAGGGCTTGAAAGGGTTTGTATGTGAATGCTTAGTTCTAGCAGCAAACTTCGCTAAGTTAAAACTTCTGTCCAAGTCCTTTGAAAGTACGCGCAATTCCCAATCCTCCCGCCCCTCCCGTTTATAAATTTTTAGTTTCTATATACATAGCTTAATTAAAATTCAAATAAAAAAATGGGGTCAATACACTTCTTTTGGCGCTACAGTTCATTTCATATGACCTTTTTGCACTGAAATTTGTGTCTTAATTAAAAATTATATTTTTGACGTTTTCCCTCCAATATTTTTATCCAATTAAAGCATTAAACAAAATGAACTCTAAGTTTGTTTTAAAAAAGACACTTAAAAGGTGTGACTAAGAAAAAGTTTTCAATTGCTTCGCATCATCAATTATTTGACCTTTCTGCACTAATAAAAAGTGATTTTTCTGGCATTGAAAATTTGATAGGCAAGAAAATTATTTTAAAGTCTTAAACTTTTTCTGATTTTAAGCAAATAGGCCAAATTTATCTTGAATATTTAGAAAAGAACATCAAAAGCGGGGGTATATGATGTAAATTTTCAGATATTACTAAAAAAGTGTCAATTTTACGTTAAAATTGGCTCAATTTTTTCCCGGGCCTGTTTCACAAACGTTTCCTAAGACATGTCGTAAGACATAACTTAAGATATGCCTAAGTTATAACTTAGGAACTTTCTTAGATTTGTCATAGCTGTTTCACGAAACAATCTTATCTTAATTTTTTTCCTAAGACATTTCTTAAGCTGTGCCTTTTAAAGCCAATATAATAACTTAATTCTTCACTCTATCTACAACTCTTGGTACACTATTAGAAGCATGTTAGTATGAGTAATATCTTCAGTTTGAGTCAGGGTAACAAATAAACTTTAGCTTGAAAAGGGGAGGGGTGGTAGGTTAGGCTTACCCCTAACTTTCTAAGAACATGGACAGAAGTTTTTAGATAATCAATGTTGTCAGAAAGCTGCTTTAATTTTCACAAGTTTCCCCCTGGAACTAAGCACACACATACACACACCTTCAACCCCCACCCTTCTCCCATTGGGCACACAATATATGATCTTTAAAAAAACATTATTCCACGTGTTATACATTTTTTTTCTTCATAGAGGTATCAGACGTATTGTTATTTAACTTGTTTTGTTTACCTACTATACCTCTTCACTTTTAAATTAGTAAATGGAATTTTAGAACGATTGCTTTGTATTGAATACATTCATAGTATTATCATTTTTTTTAAAAAGTCTGTGCGAAAAACTGCTCCATGCTACTATCCATGCTAATTGTGTAAAACCTTCTTGCATATAAAATCACCGTGCATAACTCAGGTCAGAAAGGGAGAGTAGAACCAATCACTCTGTTACACGACATATATAATTATTCGTTCAGTAGAAAAGTTGAAAAAGGTGGAACGTCATTTAAATGAAGCGGAAACAGGGGAAATCTATTTGTATTCTCATGGCTGTAGAAACAAGGGGGGGGGGGGTAAAAATTTTTTGCGATATAGAAAACAAAGCTGATATTTGCTTATAACCTCTGATGACATTTTTCTGCTTGTCAGAGAATTTTGGTAGTTGATATTGTTGTGACCCCACTGATTTGTTACATGTAGATAAAACATATATGGACATGTACGTGTATATATATTAATGGTTCAATTCATATGCATTTTTGTAACACAGACATCGTGCTTATAGCATGCTATTTTTGGGACTAATTTTACATTTCTTTGTCAATTCTTAAAATCCTAGTAATTCCATGTAAAGTAAACCAGTTTTAAGAAGGAGATAACACAATCATCCATATACTGGTAGTCCCCTGGATTTTTCTCTCCCTGAACACAATCTCTCACTCTGTTAAAATTCTTGCATATTTAGTTTCTTCCTAAGCCATCGATTTACCTGTCCTAAGGTTACGACATGACTTAGGTATATCCTAAGATAAGACGAGGTTAGTGAAACGGATAAGTAATGAACTTATAGGAAAAAGTTCTTTCCTAAGATATAACTTAGTCCTAAGTAAGCTTTGTGAAACGGGCCCCTGATTTGAACTCAATCTATACTTCCCGATTATGATTCCATACAAATATGACTGATCATGGTTGTGTTGTTCTCTTCAACTTTTGGAAACAGTCATTGCCAGTTGTTTGTTTTGCCGCAAATGTTAACTATGGGGCTCTAAACATGTTAAAAACTGCCATTTTTCGAACTTTAAGACATGTTGCCATAGTAACTATAAAACATAGCAACCAATTTTCGCCTGATTTCAGTTTAGGGTATCAATGACTTTTATCATAGAGAGTTTGGAGAAATTCTGAGACTATGCGTGCCACAGCTCCTATTAAAATTTCAAATCATTACAGAGAATGGCTCTTAATATACATGTGTTCCAATGTTTTACTTCCCCCTCCTCCCCATTTACCCCAAGAGTCATGATTTGAATAAACTTCGATCTACTCTTTGTGAGGATGCCGCTTTACAAAGATGGCTTTCAGGGTTTGCTTTGCTTTGTGAGTAGATTCTAAAATACTTCACAGTAATATACCTATGTAAAACTTGTTTTATATGTTGGTTTATTGCCTTAACATCGGGGTGTCATAATTTAAATAATAGCGAATCTTTACTAACCGAGGATGCCTTTCTATTATATGACTTTTAATGGCTCGCTGTTATTAAAAATAATATTTCTGAAGTCATTTTCTAAATGTTCAGTAAAACTTTAATATTCTACTGTCACCCCGCCCTACCTCTTGGGGTCATGATTTGAACAAATTTGAGCAAGTAGAGTATGTAATGAAACTTCACATATAAGTTTCGTCTTTTCTGGTCCATTCGTTCTTGAGAAGATTTTGAGATGATGTGGCCAAATCTTCATGATTTTTTTATTGTCTTCACTTTGAGAGCAAGCATTGTATTTCCTGAGAACAAATATAAATCTCCTTCACTTAAGGTTGCTTTGTGGTAAGTTGGATAGAAAATTAACGATGACTTTTGGAGAAGTAAAAAAATATGAAAAGTTGACCAAAAACACACAATATACGACAGACAGACAGATACCTATATAAAAGCCGGACACTTAAGCTCTGAAAGCTTAAATGAAAGAAAAAAATCCCCTCCCATTTTTGACTTGCTTACTCAGGCTTACAATTTTAAATCACTTGCATGCTGAAATTTTAAAGTTATCATACATGTGTATAGGCATTCATATTTAGATGTGAATGTTTTATGCTCATTTACTGTTAAATGTGTAAATTTTATATTTCAATCCACATATATGAGGAATACACTATTATTAAGAGATTTGGAGGCATTATGCTACAATAGTTTGTTCGATTGATTGATTTTTGTTTCACGCCGAGTTGGTAATAATTTAGCCATATTTCAGTTATATAGCATTAAACGCATTTACAATCATCACATCGAAGACTTATTATGATTCCAAGATGCAGATTATTTGGTTCGTTGGAATGGGTGACTGGATGACAGTTTTGTGGAGAAAGACCTTTTGCTACTTACCATTTCACGATGATTTGGGTAGTACGCTTGCTCAACCAAAGGGAAATTCTCTTTCCCAAGCTTCTTCTGTATTCGAATCAACTGAGCAAACTAAAGAATGATAACATGAAAATAAAAAGTCAATATGTGTAATTAATTTATTTATTTAGAAAAAAAATCTGAAGAAAGAACAAAAATGAACGCTTAATGAAACAGTGAAAAGAACAATTATTATCACTTTGATATGTTGGATGCAAACTAGTTCTAAGTTACTTGGTAATGGGTCTGGTCCAAAGAATTAAGGTGTTAATTAATCTATAATATTTATGTCAGATCTAGCGTCTGAGGATTTCTGTAATTATTGAACACGTTCACGCATTTAGCAAATGTGGCTCTAGTAGGTCCATCCCTACTTGAATCAACAATGTGAGTTTGATTTAAGTAGAGGTTTTCAGTTATTTCTTAAATAAACCTGTTCCCAAAACTTCAACCTAGTTTGGAAAAATGTAAGTTAGATACAGCATCCGAAGCATGTCTAGGAGAAAACAAACCTAGTTTAAAAAATCATTGAAAATTTATTGGTCACGAAAGAGATTATATATTTCTTAGAATGGTCTAGCTTTAAAAAAAACTTGTCCATCCATGTAGAAAATGAGCCAGTATCCAAAGTAAATCTAGACGTTTGCATCTCTTGATGCATTCACTCTAAAAATTAAACCTGTTCACTCGTCCAGAAAATGAGCCAGTATTCGAAGCAAAGGAAATAAACATCCCTATATGCATAATCCTTGCAAGCTTGTCCAGAAAGGGATGGGTTTTTTTTGGGGGGGGGGGTGATGCTTTCTAAAAAAAAAAATTAACCTGCTCAAAAACATAACATCACCCATTCATTTGGAAAATATTCTCCAAAAAATTCAGCATCTGAATCAGTAAAGAAAACTGATAAGATACATCAGTCATGCATCTAAGTTCAATAAAAAAAAATTCGGAAAAAAAACAAGAGGACCAGGGGGCACATCGCTCTACTGGCTGAGCATTAGCTAAAAAAAGCAAAATTCAGTTAAGTATTGAAAAGCTTAAATGCATAAGTGGTCCCATCCTACCCCTAAAAGGGAGAGGGAGGGTTATGATTTGAACAAAGTTGAATCTACACTAACTAGGGATATTTACGTATTTTTTGACTGTGAATTTTCATAATGTGGCCCTATCTTACCCATGGGGAGCATGATTAGAACAAAATTGAATTTACACTATATATATATATATATATATATATATATATATATATATATATATATATATTATATATATATATTATATATTTAAAAAAAGAAAAAAAACGACAACAGAAGTTGTAAAACGTTCGCGCTTTCATTCAAATTCTTCAGACGTTTTACTTTAAACATTTGACGTTAAAATGTTATCATTATGGTAATCATTATTACCATAACAGTGCAGGAACAGCGCGCTAGACCGCTTGGCTATCTAGGCAAGTCAAAAAACTTGCTTTCGATGCCGATGGAATTCTCGCGGCGCGCACTGTTCCTGCACTGCTAGGAGACAGATTCCGAAGGTCGAGAGTTCAACCCCGGGTTGGGGCGGAAGTGGGTATCCATGTAAAAGTGAATTTCTTTGTGCTTTCTATATTAATATTTCTTCACTTAGGGCAGTTATGTTAGTTTAAGAGTTGTTGTAAAATGTGCTTTATAAATAATAATTAATTTCATTACAACATGTATTGGTAACAATCCTCTGTTAAAACTAATGTCCAAATAACTGTATCTCACTTCTATTCTCAATGACCGTGTAGTGTAGGGCAGCGCCGCGAGAATTCCATCGGCATCGAAAGCAAGTTTTTTGACTTGCCTAGATAGCCGAGCGGTCCAGCGCGCTGTTCCTGCACTGCTAGGAGACAAATTCCGAAGGTCGAGAGTTCAACCCCGGGCTGGGGCGGAAGTGGGTATCCATGTAAAAGTGTGCTTTCTCTCTCTCTCTCTCTCTCTCTCTCTCTCTCTCTCTCTCTCTCTCTCTATATATATATATATATATATATATATATGGATGCTTCCAGATAAATATGACCAATTAGTGCATTGCTGTTCTTGAGAATAAGATTTTTGAAGACTTTTTCTGTAAAACTTTGATCATCCATTGTGGCCCCACCCTACGCCTAGGGGTCATGATTTGATAAAAATAGAATCTACACCACCCTGAGAATGCTTTCACATAATTACTAGTATGACCAATCGCGGCTTTGCTTATTCTTGAGAAGAAGAATTTTAAAGATTTTCCTATATACTCAGTATTCCATATTCCTATGTAAAACTTTGATCGTCCATTGTGGTCCCACCCTACCCCCCGGGTCATGATTTGATCAAATTTGAATCTACACCATCTGAGGATGTTTCTATATAAATATGACCAATCAAAGTTTTGCTGCTCTTGAGAAGAAATCTTTTGAAGATTTTTTCTATATACACATGTATTCCTATGTTAAACTTTGATCGTCCATTGTGGCCCCCATCCTACCCCCGGGGTCATGATTTGAACAATTTTGAATACTAATATACACTACCTGATAATGATTCCACATGATTTTCATCTTTCCTGACTCACTGATTTTTGAGAAGATTTTTTCACTGATGCCATTAATTTTGCTATTTCGTAATTATCTCACCTTGGAGGAGGGCGTGAAAAAACTTGACTCCCTTTCACCCAAGAACACTTTGTGCTAAGTTTGGTTGAAATTGGCCTGAAATTGACAACGTGGTTCTTGAGAGGAAGATGAAAATATGAAAAGTTTGCGACAACGACGACAACAACGCCAACAACAACGACGACAGACAACAGACAAATTTCGACCAGCTGCACAATACTGCACAAGAAAATTTAAATCTGGGACGCCGACGCCGATGGTATTATGCCTATATTATTTATAGGTTTCCCAATATTTGTTGAGGTGAGCTAGCTAAAAGTATTGATGTAGTTAAGTTCTGATCGTTAGGCATAGTGTATATTTTTTATATATTCAAATCAATAATTTTCACACTTCAATACAGATTGATTTTATCAATAATATAATTTATATATATATATATATATATATATATATATATATATATATATATATATATATATATATATATATATATATATATATATATATAAATATATATTGATAAAATAATATTTGTAAGGGATTAAATAAGACTGAAAATACAATATACCGATTAACTAATTTCAAAATAAAAGCCTTTTCAAACTTTAGAATAACAAAAACCAGGTCCGTAGCAACGTTTTTCCGATAAAGTTGATTAGCAAACTCTGAAAATGTACGGTTACAGTTCTCTTATTTGATATATTTATGCCCCCGTAAACGAAGTTTTTTATTCCCCCGTAAACGTGTATAATTTTTGTCGTGTCCGTCCGTCTGTCTGTCTGTTTGTCTGTTTCTCCGCAAAAACTTTAATCTTGCCAATAACTTTTGATTTAGTGGAGCTATGACTTTCATATTTCACAAGTGTATTTTTTGTGACAAGACCTTTCTTTTGGTACTACCAAATTTGACTTTTGACCTTGACATTGGAGTTTGACCCACTTTTACATGAAAATTCCAAACTTTTACTTTGGCCATATCTTTTGAACAATAGATACCAGGACATTTATACTTCACATATGTATTCTTTGTTAAAAGACCTTTCATTGGATATCAACAACTATGACCTTTTGACCTTGACCTTGTAGATTTCTATACTTGTGAAAAATTTTAACCTTAGCCATAAGTTTTGAACGGCAAGGGCTAGGGCTTTCATACTTCATATATGTAATCCTTGTGAGAAGAGCCTTCATTGGATACCAAGAACTTTGACCTTTTGACCTTGCCCTTGGAGTTGGGCCTACTTTTAAAAAGCAAACCTTGACCATAACTTTTTAAGGGTTAGGGCTGTTGCTTTCATACTTAATATATTAAATTCTTGTGACAAGACCTTTCATTTAATAACAAGAACTTTGACCCTTTGACCTTGGAGTTTGACCTACTTTTAAAAATTTTTAACCTTGGCCATAACTTTTGAACGGTTAGGGCTAGGACTTCCATATTCAAAAGTATTCAATGTGGCAAGATCTTTCATTGGATACCGATTACCTTGACCTTTTGACCTTGATCTTGGAGTTTTTTGTACTTATGGAAAAAACTTTAATCTTGGCCTACTTTCATATTTCGCAATCGTTTTTCCAGTGAGAATCCCCTACTTTTGGTACCAATTTAATAAATTTGCATGTAAGAAAAATTTAATCTTTGCTATGTTGCCATACGGGGGCATTAGTGTTTCACAAACACATCTTGTTTTCATTTCAAATGAAAGAATTTACCTAAATTTAACCTTACAAAAACAACACCTGAGGGAACGAAATCCCAATAAGATTTTTGTAATAAACTCTGGGACAGCAAAAGGCTATCCTAATAAAGTAGCATATCTCCCCCGCGTTCAACATGTACGGGCCCAAAAAAATGCAGAGCATAGAAATACATGTTTTTAAGCTCAGAATGAGAATTTACCAAAAATAAATGTTCTACAAGCAAACAGATCAACTACTTTCCTCAAATAAAATCCTTCAAATGAAATACTGTTTTCGTCAATTTCAGCTTTACTTTGACTAGATATACATTAAATTCCGCTTAAAAACTAAGTCTGTGATTAAATATTTTGTAGCCTACCACCCATGGTCTGTCCTGGAAGTTATAAATAGAATGTAAAGAGTTAATACTCGGAATTCCGCCGTACTGAAATCCTAATAGAATGTTTTTCCAGTCCTCACATGCATCTCTTACACTCTGTCTGATCAGCAGGAAGTCTGGTTTGAATGACCTGTAAGACATAGCAGACAAGGTATCTACTAGTATATCATTCACGTCTAAAAAGGCGGAATAATCTTAAGAATGCTTAGTTGGAATTATCATTCTACATTTTTATTATTGTGATACCAGGGTATTTTTGAGATCCTGCTAAAATGCTGCCAATTAACAAATAAGAGAACACAAGACAGCGTCTTTTCTATACTTCTACATGAATACTTTTGTATTTTATACTTTTATGATGCAACTTCCATAATAACATTTTAACCAACAGTATGCAACAGGAAAAAATTTAGAAGCACATTATATACAAAGACTAAAACATATCCATAGTACTGTTGGTATGTTCCAGTATTTAATTATCTAAGGAGATTATTTTATATACTTTTAGTTTGTTGGTATTGATTGTCATTTTTGCTGTTAATAGATTATGTTCTTTCCACATTTAGGCTGCTGGTAATAGTTAATGTTGTATATACTTTGATGGTGTTGGTAATACTTTATATTTGCATATCCACTGCTCTCTCCCACTATGAACACGTAATTATCAACTGCGTTCATAGGACTGTAGACGCAACTGCTTCTACAATAAGTGCAATTGCTCTATTACACTCGTGTAGAACAAACTGCACTACACATATATAGTGTATTGAGAAGTATATATATGAAATGTTCCATAAGAGGAATAAAAATAAGTTTTTAATAATATTCTTTGAAAAAAAAAAAAGAAATTTAGAATATTTAAAATTGCTGATTTATACCTTTAAAAATTTAATTTTGGTCAATGTATTTAATTGTATAATAAAACTTTTTAAAATTGTAGAGAACTGCCATATTTTTATTTTTTCGTATCATGCATATTTGTACAAAGAACGATAACTCTTCACACTTGGGTAATAACATTCAGAAAGAGAAAATTTCTATAACTAGTATATCTATATTTCAAGAATGATTTCAGCTATTAAAAATAAATAGAAAAACTAAAAAAAAAAAATTATAGAAAATCATTCTGGAGTAATAATCATTATAAAAGCATTCTCATTTTTCATCATAGTGTTAAATCATTGATTTTTGTCAGAGGGTTTTAATAACGTTGATCGATGACGTCACAACTGCATCAAAACAAAAATGTGATGACAGCGCTGCTTGTATCCAGATAACTGTGTTTGAGAGGCAAATACTTTATAAATTGTTTGTGATTTATTAGAGAAAAGGAGCATTAATCAGGTTGACTGATTTTAAAGCCGTATGTTTTTCTTTACTAAAGACAGGATGCGTCCTTATGTAAGTCAGGATTTCCTCTGATACTCTTGAAAAAAAATCAAAGAATGCAAATATAAGTAATAAACAACGATTATTCAGTGAACATGGCATTATGAATAGCAATAGCTCTGCTGGCATATTTTCCATGATGCGCTAGCGCGCATCATGGAATATGCCAGCAGAGCAATTGCTATTCATAACGCCATGTTCACTGAATAACGTTGTTTATTTCTTAAATGTTCCTAAATACATGTATACATTTTTAAATTATTGGTAATACTTCATGTTACATATACACAGTACTATAATAGTTAATGTTCCTAGGCTAAATTAATATGTAGGTACAGGTATGTAGCTGGATATCCTTAACGTTTAGGTAGTTGGTTATACTTAATGTTTAGGTAGTTGGTTATACTAAATGTTAGGTTGTTAGATATACTTAATGTTTAGGTTGTTGGATATACTAAATGTTTAGGTTGTTGGTCATACTTAATGTTTAATGTTCAAGTTGTTGGTTACACTAAATGTTTAGGTTGTTGGATATACTAAATGTTTAGGTTGTTGGTCATACTTAATGTTTAGATTGTTGGATACTAGTATATTTAATGTTTAATTTGTTGGTTATACTAAATGTTTAGGTTGTTAGATATACTTAATGTTTAGGTTGTTGGTCATACTTAATGTTTAAGTTGTTGGTTACACTAAATGTTTAGGTTGTTGGATATACTAAATGTTTAGGTTGTTGGTCATACTTAATGTTTAAGTTGTTGGTTTCAATAAATGTTTAGGTTGTTGGTTATATTCAATGTTTAGGTTGTTGGTTATATGTAATGTTTAGGTTGTTGGTTATACTTAACGTTCTTTTATATACGTTTAGGTTATTGGTTATATTTAATGTTCCTATATACACTATCTGGTTGTTGGTTATATTTAATGTTCCTATATAACACGTTTAGGTTGTTTGTTATATTTAATGTTCCTATATACATGATCTGGTTATTAGTTATATTTAGTGTTCCTATATTATACATGTTTAGGTTGTTGGTTATCTTTAATATTCCTATTTCCACGTTTAGGCTGTTGGTTATACCTGGTATTTCTATATACACTATCAGGTTGTTAGTTATACCTGGTATTTCTATATACACGTTTAAGTTGTTGGTTATACCTGGTATTTCTATATACACGTTTAGGATGTTGGTTATACCTGGTATTTCTATATACACGTTTAGGATGTTGGTTATACCTGGTATTTCTATATACACGTTTAGGATGTTGGTTATACCTGGTATTTCTATATACACTATCAGGTTGTTGGTTATACCTGGTATTTCTATATATACGTTTAGGTTGTTGGTTATACCTGGTATTTCTATATACAATTTTAGGTTTTGTTCATTACTTTCCTACCTGACGACCTTTGTTCCATTCCTTGTAACTTTGATGTCTACCATGGTTCCGGTATCTGTATAGGAGGCCAAATTGATTTCACTAAATTCTGCCTGCAACAGAACAAGGCAAGTACAATAAGAATTACGAACTCTGTGCTTGTGTGTGCGTGTGTGTGTGTGTGTGTGCGTTTTAACATACGTATGTTGTTTTTTAGCAAGTAAATTATCGACGATTTTACCTAGACCCGATACAGTCAGTCATAAGTTAATCTATAGACAAATCCAAGCTTACCTGCTCTACTCTGACATCCCAGTCGCCAAAAATTTTCTTTCCGACAAAATACTTAGACCTACAAAATTAAGGCATATCAAGGAAAGTACAAAGTTCCGATTTCTAAGGATGTTGAAACTACATTCAATTATTTGGTCATCACCATCAAATAGGACAAGCCTTTTTAATTCAAAATATTGAAGAAATGTAATTTCGGAAGGTGGATGGGTACAGTTTATGAATTTTGTAATAAATCAGCGCTTTAAAAAACTGGTATGCAGGGCTTTTGCTTTTTACACCAAACAGGGGCAAATCGAAGGAAAAAATCAACATATATCAGAGAACAATAAAAGAGGGGGTTGGGGTATATCGTCTTGTGGTGTTCATTCTTCCGTACGTCCATAAAGCTTGTTGAGTACTCGTCTCATATCGGCAAATCCTCCTATATCACTGAATAGAACTTAAATAAGACTTAATTACGAAAAATTTCTTCACTATGCTTTTATGCACCTGTAGAATTGCGTTTTCCTAACAAAAGTCACCGGTGTGGCGCCTCTGTAAGAGCCTCCGCTCTAAAGTCACGAAATAAGGAGTCTAAAATCTAAAAGAAATTATTGTAAAAGAATCTTTCTCGCATAATGTTACTGCACGTGCACCTGATAGTTTTCGTTCCATGGGACTGATATTAGCGGTTTCTTGAAAACCTTAACACTTTAGAATTCTTTGTGAAATATGAGGAGGGGTTTATACCTATCTTTTATCCGCAATTGTTTCCATACCACTGAATACATTAAATGTGACTTTCACAGAAACTTTCTAAATAAGTTTTCTAAAATGTGTCTTTATGCATCTCTTATTTTATGTTAAGGTTGAACAGATATTTTGACTTTATCATGGTAAAGTCATAGAGTTTGCCATAAAGCCCGTCCGTGTATGGAAGCAGTGAGTATCAATTGAGTGCTACTCACCAGTCTGTGTGGGGATCATCCACAACCAGCAGAATCTTACATCGATCTTTATTATATGGTTTATTGACACTTGGATGAGAGATCCCTGCACTTGTAGATCGAGAAGGAGAACTTGGTGCGCTGGGCGAAGGCCCTTTTTTAAAATTTAGAATAGTGGCATTGTCCTCTCGGTCCTTCAATTCGCCCTGGAGATCGCCTGAACTAAAACGTCTCCGTAAGAAATTCATGGCATTTGATATGAGCTCCGTTTCTGCAGTAAATTGGCTTCACCGTCTCTCTCTTTGATGAAGTGGAACATGGACACCCAGCTATTCAAAATCTTGACATAAGTTTATAGCCTTTAACTAAAGTAAAGAAACAAAAAAATTGATTTTCTTATTCAAGTGTTCAGATAAATAATTGGTCATTTTTTCATAACCTCCTTCATTTCTCCTCCCAATCGGAAAATAAATCGATTCTATTAATAATTAAGGATTTTTTAAAATTCCAAAATGTAAGGTTTAAAAAAGAAAAACAAGCGTCGGTAATAAGTACATGTATATTTGAAAGCATAGTAAAGACAAAGTATGTTGATGATATACCTGTAAATATTTCAACTTTTAAAATATTTGAATCGCAGTAAGATTGGGACCAGGTAGTTTTGGTTATGACTAAAATGATAATAATAATATTTTGCGTATTGTTTTTCAAACATCTTTGTGCATCACAACATTACTAGAGTGTTTATCGAAATTATTCAGAAAATTTCAAATAACAAAAGAAATTATCTCCGGTGTGTTCTGTTGATCAAAATTACTGCTTTTGAAAAAAAAAATCCTGCATAAAAGATATCAATGGGAACGTTAAACCTAGTAATACTAGTATTTCTGATACTATACCTATACTTATTATTGTGTGGTGCAAAATACCCGATATTGAAAAAGAAATTCAGTTATGAACTAAGTAAACGAAGATTTGCGGATCAAAGAAGGCTTACTGTAGTTACTGGGAAAGATATTTGCTCAGCATGAATGAACATTAAGAATAGAATTTCTTACCCTACCAGCTCTTGTCTTTTTTTTCTCTCCATTTTTTTTTCAATTTACATGTAGCACATGTTAAAAAAAAGTGGGCATTGGAATACTTAGTGTTTCAGAAGTACTATATCATCAATTTTGCAATTCTTTGATAACGCTGATTTACAACAGACTTCGAATTTCGAATGAATAAAAGCAATCTACAGGATGATATATATCTATAAATAAAGCTAGATCAAAATAGCACGTGTTTTTTTAAACAAGCCTAGTGCTTATCTTGATAATATTGTACTAGTAGTACATTATTAATTATTTTTTCATTGAGACTATGCGTACATGAGATTCAAAGACAGCAAATATTGATCTGTTCTAGCCGCCTGATCGTGCTACAGTCAGCCGACATTTTTGGTCAAACTGCTTCACCGAAGAAAAACATAGGTCTTTTCAAGAAAAAATCCCAATATTTTGAAATAAAGTAAAAATATTCTACATGTACGAGATGTAATAGAAGAGAGACAGTCTTACCCGGGAATAAATGAGCCTTGTACTGAATTCCATTCTACATCCTGTCTGTTCTGGAAACAAGAAAATCAATACCATTCCCATGATACAGAGTAAAATTGATCCAGGATATTTATGATAATGTTTCAGATGAGTAGGTATATAGCTGAGATCGATGGGACAGCGATAGAAAAAGGGACTGTACTTATTCCAAAGACGTGCTGAATAAACCTTTCATAATTAACTCCCAGAACTTAAACTCAAATAAAGAAGTACTTATTTGTTGATCTACACTGAAACTACGGTTCATAAATTAATACGGCGTGGAATATAAAATATAAACGGTTTGCCAAAAACGGTTCTTTTTTATGGTTAAAAGCCAAAAATCCTGAAACTCTGAAGTCAATGTTTTTATTCCATGTATCATAGTTATTAATTTCAATCAGTTAAAAAATCCGTTTCTCTTGATTGTTTAAAAATTTTAATTCAATTTATTGCTCTGTTTGAATTTTTAGAATCAGATAAAGAGACATTTTAATATGCCACAGTTCCGCCAAAAATGTACTAGACTCAAAAGTAATACATGTACTATTTCTATTCAATGGTGTTCAATTACGAAAAGAAAATATAATTATTGTGTGATATTTTTAAATCATTTGTATCTGAATTTGTTACACATGTAAGCAAATATACTTTGAATATTTCATTTAGTTAGAAAGAAGACATGAGTCCATCCTTCATGCTAAGAAAAGACTGAGAGATGATTAAATTCAAAATACAGATAGTCACACATCTTAAAAATGTTGGTCAGATCCAGCATAGTCTGGCAGAGGCTGTCCCTGGATGTATCATTCATACAGGTTTGATCTAAGGGATGTTAAGAAAGTTCGTTCCAGGATGATATATTTTTAAAAAATTCAAGGTAGTACTTAACTAAAGAGATGAATTTTCAAGTCTGACAAAATCACAAGAGTGTGCTTTAGATTTAGAGCAATTAATTTCTAGCAGGAAGTTATAGGATTTTTCTTCCATATGAAAATATATATAACATCTTTAAAGCACCCGAATGATAGAAATGCTGGTCATTTTGAGTGAAAATAAAGGATAATTTACTGTTGTTTCTTCAAAGCTTATCTTGCATCAGACAAGCTGATTAGGTTTAAGAACGATATAATCACTTTTCAATAGAATAGGTTTGTCATTTTGAAAGTTTTCACAGATTTGATAATTTTTGTATAATATTTGAAAGGATATTTTGACCTGTGTGCTTAATATATGTCACAAATATGCGTAATCCCTAAATTTTCTGAACAGACATCATCGGTTTTAATACCTGCCCTCTCCTAAATTGATTCAACAAAAGACAGTTAAAACCTTATCAGTAGCAAGAATGAACTCTGTAAACATGAAATATCACAAATTGTAAATATCTTCTTTGGGGTACCCATCACTTATCCGCAACTCCTCTCATATCACTGAGAAAAATTTGATGAAACTTTCACAGAATCTTTATTACATATTGCCATTGTGCACCTCCTATTTACTTTTTGATCTGACACATATTTTGGCTTTCCCATTGCAAAACATGGACACTGCCATTATATTCATGTGGGAGGCGGGGTTATCATTTATTGAGCTCATTGTCTCAATTCCGACCATTTTATTTATCATGGAAAGTACAGACTTTACCTAAAGCCCTGCTTTCCGACATAGTTTTCTTAAAACTCTCCTCTTTTCATTATCAAGTAATTTTCATTTTGAAGTGTGCTGATTCCTCCTTTATGGAAGGATTTCAGTGCCACATTTAATAAATACATATTCACCGTATACAACGGGTAACGCGGGGGAGTTGCTAAAAAGTATGGGGGAGTCGTTTTCAGCGTATGGGGGAGTAGATTTTCACCGCTTCGGAGTCAGGTCACGCCTTTTTTGGTATATGTAAGATGTTTTTACAAAAAACAAATAGCCCACGGAAGGTAGCAATAGTTAAGCTTTTTCTTGGTCATTTGTCCGGCTAGCATACACGTCTAGTTTTCTCAAACACTTCGAAACTAATCGACAGATTTCATATTTTTGTTGATCAAGTGGTTAAAAAATGCATGGTTTGCACAGTCTACGACTTGTGTAGAGATTCCGACAGTTAAAACAGCTAAAGCACACGTTTATCTTTTAAATGCAACAATTAAAACTTCTCTAGACTTTATAAGAATTAATATTTACTTCAGACAGTAAATGTTACGTAGGGGGGGGGGGGGTCGTTTCTGGAAAAACACAACGCATAGGGGAGTCGCACAATTGAATTGTACTATTATTTTAAATTTCAACTTTTCATTTGCTAAATGCTTCCTTACACTTTTTTTTTGATAATTTCATAATTTAAGTAAAATGTAACATGAATAAAAATCAATATAAGCAATATGTACAAGTAAAAATAAAAACATGTATTTATCGTTCCCTATTGTGAATCGCATGAGTATATACCAGTACTCCATATACTAGTACTTATTACTACATGTACATTTGATATGGTTTCTGCACTGATGAGCAGTGGTATATCCCAAAACATTCTGCGATAAAATACTGTTGGGTTGTTCATTTAATGTCGAAGAAAAAAATAAATACAGATATGGAAGGATGGGGTAGGAAAGGGGACTTTAGCTTTGCCACTTTCCTTCACACATAACATAAATGAACTTTTCTAAAGAATATATTTCGGGATGAGGGCATGATATTTGAATATTTTTCTTTGTGAATTTTTATAGCTCTTATTATTATTAGAAGTTCAGACCCCGCCCTTACCCTGTGAGATGTTGGACCTGCCGATGAGATATTGCACCGCTTACGTTACAGTATGGGCGGGGTCAGCTGTCAGAACTTTATACTATCGAATTGAACAAGTTCAAACTTCATTGCGGAGAATCAAAATTTCATCATGATATCAAAATATACAGTAAAAAAACAAATCATTTATCGAATGTGTTCTCGGGCAAAATTGCGTTCATCTTGAAATGCGTTTTGTCAACCCCTTGAACAAAACTATTTGCCTTCGACCTAAATTATAACAGCCTCGGGCAAACAGTTTGCTTCTTCGGTCCGACAAAACGCATCTTGTTCTCGAACCCTATTTAGGAATGTATAGTACTGGTTGTCCCCCTTCGAAAACTTCGAGCTCGTAAAAGAACATATCATGTGCCTGTGTTAATGCAGTTTAAATACTGCATGTATAAGCAGGGAACACAAAACAATTATAATTCGAGACATCTTTTTGAATACTAGTATTTCTTTATTTCAATTTACGTGCCTTTAATGATAAATGACATAAATGACTGTGTATTTAAAATATCAGTCTCAAGAAAGTTTTAAAAGTGTGAAATTCTTCCTTTTAAGAACATACTGTTGTAACGTTTTTTACAAAGAACAAATGATTATCTATTGGGTCCGCTTAGGATTCCTTCCTAAGAATCACGTTTATAATATAAATCAAACTTCAATAACAATGGCGAACTGACTGAATTCACTATATATATTTTTCCTAGGTCCTATCTGGATAATGATTAGAAAACTAACTATAAAACAAACTATAACAACAGAATCACTGACAATCAAGCAAATAATCAAATATAAAACCTATCCCTGTAGTTGCAGACTGAGTGGTATAACCAACAATTATGTTGTTTCCCGACACAGTCTGCAACTACCTAAAAAGCACACCCTAAAAGTCACTGAGACACCTTTATTAAAAGTCACCAAGACACTATAGTCACTGAGACACATACAAGGAACTAGATTCTTTAGCTGAGTGGTCTAACGAACAATTCTGTTGTTTCCCGACACAGCCCAAGAACTTTGCCCAATAGGTGTAAATCAAGCGATGAGTAACTAACAAATAACCAAATACTTCATGGGTGCTTCTATTTATACTCTTTTTACTTACTGATGATTGGTTAATAATTTGCAAACTTTGATTGGCTATAATGTAAACGTTGATTGGTTAATTATCAAATGATTCTATTGGACGATTTCAAAGGTATTTCAATCCACTATGATTATTCTATTTCATTACACTGTTTTCCTCTACTAACATATGTGTATTAACCCCAGATTATCCAAATTATTTTCAATCAACATGCTAATTCATTGGTGCTTGAAGATGTGTTACTTTATATGATAAATAAATAATTTAATTATGAATGTTATTTATGGGCCAACCTGAGAGCATATTCCAGTTAAAAAATTTCTAAACCCAGAGATTTTTTTCCTTTTTTTTAATGAAAAAAAATGGTTGATATTATTAACAAATTTTCCATATTACAAACCAGACTGTTTTTAGCCGGGCTTATTGCTCAATGAGCAATTGCCGGCTTATGTCATCCTGTTCAAGGCAGGAAGTCGACCCCATAGTCGCCATTTTAAAGTTACGTGTAAAAATATAGTTCTTGCTCTGAACCGTTTTTGAGATAATACAAACGCTAAATAAAGCAACAAAAATAAAACGAAGTTTTATCTTTACAAAACATAAGTATCAATGACTTTAAAAACTTCAGTCAAAGAACATAGTTCATTAGCGTAAGGATTTTTGATAATCAGTGTTATCGTAGTTCTCTACACATACGAGGTAAAGCAGGAGAGGGAACCAGACTGGCCTGTTCGTTTACATTCAGCTGCGGTAGCAGATTAATTCTGATTCTGACAAAATCGGACCGTGGTATTAGGACCGAAAAAGTCACTGTCAGTGTCTTATCATTTATATTGATATTTTTAAAATAATTTTTTTCATCAGAATATAAACGCGTGATTCATGTAAGAAATTCATACTACTCTGTAAATGAGCCCGGCTCTCTGTACTTCTGAGTACTTTGATTTTTTTATGGAGAGGCTGTCATTGTTGGAAGCAAGGGTTCGTGATCTTTTTATTTTTTTTTTTTATTTTTTGTGATGTAAGAAAATTACATACTGAGAGGAGGGTCTTGTCACCGAGCACATGTGCTTCGAAGATATATAATCCACACTTATTGTACAATATTGTACTTGCATATCGATGATTTTTTTTTTTAGAACTGATAAAGCCACAGAAAAAAATCTTGT